ATATATATATATTACCGCCCGGACCTAGTGTATATAAGTACCGATAGTACTACTAAGCTTAAATCTATAATTTGCAATATATATATGCATATATATGCATATATATTATGGCATACTATTAATAATAATAATTTATTATTATATATATTTAAATAGATGAGCTGGAGACTAGGTAATGAGAGTATTATGTGATAATATAGTATAATATTTCTTATATAGGTATATTAGTATATTATTGATACTACATACTATATATCATACATATACCGTATAGATGCATATATATCATATATATATACTATATAGTATAAATGGTGCATATGTATTTAATGATGTTAACAATTAATAGTCTGTTTAATGGTATGCTAGTATTCTATAACTATATATACTATATATATATAAACCTATATACTATATATTATATACCCGGAGTGCCATCACATATATAAATATATATTAATATATATAGTATAATATATTGTATATTATAAATAATAGTATACTATATATATATTTAGTATATATCAGAGTATATATATATGAACTGGCATTCATGGGAGCAAAACTTTCGGGATAAGGAATGAAATGGAGAATTGGAATATCTTCTACAATACAAAGAGATGTAGTTTTAACAAGATCTGCTCGAATTTTTCGGATTTATATCTTCTGTCAGATAGTGTATATATGTGTGTAGATAATATATATATATATATCTATTGATTAAATATATATATATATATAGTATTATATATAATATTATATTTAATTATAAGTATATTGTATATATATAGATAGATTATTATTTTACATATATATATATTTATATATATATAATTTGTATGTTATATGTATATATTTATTAAGATATTATATATATATAGAATATATTATATTAGTATATTGCTATGTATATATATAGTTGTATACTAAATGTGTGTATATAAGTCGTATAAGTAGTTTAGTGATTATATGTTATATCTATAATTAATGTTATGTAGTAATATTATGTATAGTATGATGTTGTATATATAATATGTAAGGATATATATTGATAATGATTGTATAATGTATGTATATATAATATATAATATATATATAAATTATGAGTTAATGTTAGTATAGTATGGGAGTGTATTGTATGGGAGCTTATGTATGTAGTATGTAGTTATGTATGTATGTTGTTATAGTAAGTCATACCTATATACATTAGTATAATAGTATATAATATACTATATATATTAACTAATATAATAGTATATATATGTACTGTATGTACCAGTATATCCTGATGCATACATATAATTATATATATAATATACGTAATATATATATATATATATATACTAGATAAGGATGTAATATATATATGTACATATATACTTCACTTATATATAGTAGACGTAGAAGAAGTATATATATATTTATCCTATAATAAGAGTAAATTATCTATAACACAGATATATAGAATTTATATATTATATAATATTATATATGTTATATTATATATACAATATATATATTAGCATATATTATATATAAATTAGATCATGAATAGATATATAGGTCTATCATTATATACATACATATATATTAATAGTATTATATAATACAGTATACATACTTACTATATATATGGTATATATAGCATAATACATACATTATGTATGAGTACATATATATCTATTATATATAATATAATATATACATGTATTATATCATACATACAGAATATATACAACAATATATAACATATGTGTAATTGTTGTATATATATAAGTATATATATTATATTATATCAATATATAATGCTACCTCAAAATTGTGGTTTATATAATATATAATAAATATAATAATTATTATATTAAATATACATTATAAATTATTATAATTACAACATATACAACACATGTATACATAACCATAAATAACATACATTATGTGTATGATAAGAGTATATACTATTATATAAATAATAGTACCTTAGATATATTATAATAAATATTAATAACTATTATAATAGTAATATATATATAATATATATATATATATATTATATATATATAATAAACTATATATATATAATAACATATATATATTGTGTGTGTGTGTGTGTACCAATATATTATTTGTGTCACATTATATATATATATAATAATATTATACATAATATATAATTATATATAATACCACACACGTGATACCACAACACATATATATATATTATATATATATATATATATATATATATATTATATATAATATATATATATTATATATAATATATATATATATTATATATATACATACCATAGTAATACTACACACACAATGTATAGACATATATAAATTACAGTAAATCATTATATATATATATATATAATATATATATATATATATATATATATATATATATATATATATATCTTAATAATATAAGATATATATAGACATATATATATGTATATATACATATATGTATACATATGTACATAAATATATA